GATGATGAAAATATGGTTCAGAAAAAAATTAAGCCACTTGCTTAGATTCACACAGTTAGAGTTCAGATTTGAATCCAGGTCTTTCTGATTCTAAAATTTGAATTCTACCCACTGTGTTACACTGCTTCACAGAGGTTCATCTGAATATGCTGTTCTGTGTCTTGGGATGCATTTTTATCTATAGGTAATATTTAATGTAGCAGCATTTTTCCATATGCATTCCATGGATGGCACTTATTTTTAATAGGCTTTTTTTTTTTTTTTTTTTTTTGAGACGGAGTCTCGCTCTGTCGCCCAGGCTGGAGTGCAGTGGCCGGATCTCAGCTCACTGCAAGCTCCGCCTCCCGGGTTCACGCCATTCTCCGGCCTCAGCCTCCCGAGTAGCTGGGACTACAGGCGCCCGCCACCTCGCCCGGCTAGTTTTTTGTATTTCTTAGTAGAGACGGGGTTTCACCGTGTTCGCCAAGATGGTCTCGATCTCCTGACCTCGTGATCCACCCGTCTCGGCCTCCCAAAGTGCTGGGATTACAGGCTTGAGCCACCGCGCCCGGCCTAGGCTTTATTTTTTAAGCTGTTTTATGTTTACCAAAAAATTGAACAGGAAGTACTGAGAGTTCCCATCTATCCCCTCCCTACCTGTTATCCTCCCATCATCAACATCTTGCATTACTGTGGTATATTGGTTACAATTAACGAGCCAATACTGATACTTTCATCAAAGTTTTGTGGTTTTCTTCATATAGAACTTGTAGATATTTTGTTAGATTTATATCAAAGTATGTCATTTTGTTGTTGTTGGTAATGTAAATGGCATTGTGTTGTTTATTTCAAATTCCAATTGTTCATTTCTGGTATATAGAAAGCAAATGATTTTTGTATATTAAGCTTGTATCCTGCAATATCACCATGTTATTTATTGGAATGCCACTTTTTAATATTATTAAACATTCTTATATGATGATCTCAAAATGCCCATAAGGTGACAAGTTGCCTTATTATAAAAGACCCTCTGCTCTTTAATTCTAAAAAGTATATTCTAGATTTGAGATTAAAATTATTTCATTCATCTGTCTTCATATAGAATATTTAGTCATCTGGGGGATTTCTATAAAGAATTCATAAGTTACTTTTAATTGAACATTATTATGCTTTTCCAAACTACAGTGTGTAATTAGAAACAAAGAAATTGTATTTAAGTATTACAGATTATGAATCTGCATGGGTGAATATGCTTCTGGAAGAACTGGTAACAAAAATACTTTTTTCCATTGCTCACAAAATATATGTCCCGAGGCACTCTCGTGTTTTTCTGGCCACATATATGTGATATAAGCTCCTGTTGGGACAGTTTCCCACCACAGGAATGCATTTCAGGGCACATAGTGGATGCAGCAGGTCAGGGCTGCTGGACCATGGGACCAGTATGATCAGAAGGGCCCTGAACAAGTCATGAAAAAGTAAAAACTTCTTGTGCCATCCCGTGTAGGTTGACAACAACAAAAAAGTGATAGGTATACAGTGTATCTTTATAAAATAAGATCAGGCTGGGCGCAGTGGCTCACGCCTGTAATCCCAACATCTTGGGAGGCCGAGGCGTGCGGATCACTAGATCAGGAGATCGAGACCATCCTGGCTAACATGGTGAAATCCTGTCTCTATTAAAAATACAAAAAATTAGCCAGGCATAGTGGCACATGCCTGTAGTCCCAGCTACTTGGGAGGCTGAGGCAGGAGAATCGCTTGAACCTGGGAGGCAGAAGTTGCAATGAGCTGAGATCATGCCACTTCACTCCAGTCTGGGCAACAGAGCGAGACTCCATCTCAAAAAATAATAATAATAAATAAATAAGATCAACAAAATATGACAGGTATGAAGATCACTGTATAACTATCACTTTTTTGTTGTCGACCTACATGGGATGGCCCAACACTTTTTTGTTGTTGTTGACGTACATGGGACCACACAATTATCAACATGGAGATAGAAAAGCTATTCAAAATGTACTTCAATATCACATACAGTGTATATTTATCACTTTTTTAAAAGCTTGGGACAGTGTGCAAAATTACTTTTGTTGATAAAGTTTCAATTCTCAGTGTAAAAACTGTCAAACCTAGAGAAGACACTCTACTTTGAATCTAAAGTAAATTTCTAAAAAGTACTTATCCTCTTTTAGATTTAGGTAATTATTTAGAAGTGTGAGAGCATGAATAAAGATATGACATGAACAAGACACTTTCTTATAATAATCTAATTCAAGAAATAGTACAAACATATATGAACGAATAAATTATCAAGGTCAATTTAATGTAGCAGAAACTTGGACTGCCAAATGAATATATAAGAGAGTCAGCCACAAAGGATCACAAAAGTCTACATGATCATAGTTATCAATTTGGAAACAGAAAATCTATTTAAAATGTATTTATACATCATATTAATCTTCCATACACTTTGGAGAGGTGGAGTTTCATTGTTGCTGTTGTAACTAGTGTTTTTGTTGAATAACCCATTCTCTAGGAAGCACATAATGAAATTAACTCTGACTCCCTCCTTCTTCCCACACTGTCCCATAACCTCTTCCTCCTCCAGCAAGACTCAGAAGGAAGATGATTATTTATAAGGGAAGGTAAATTAGTTTATGTTACTCCCAGATCTTGTTACACCATGAATTCATATAATAAACATAGCTTCTATAATTTTAACTTCCATTTGTTATATTATCAACTCAGACCCCCCAAAATTAAATTTCTTTGAATATCTAATTTTAATAGGTTAGATGCTTTCTGCCAATTTTTCTCTGTAATGCAAACCTAATGTGATAATGAAAACCAATAACAAAATCAGAGGCTTCCTAGACAGTAGCCCATCTTCATTTCCAAGTTAAAGATTTTGGTTGAAACTATTTGCAAGCATATAATAATAATTCCTGTGCAAGAGAGTCTCTATTGAATGATATGTACTCTGAAGACAGTATGAAGGAAAGAGGCTCTTCGGCAGATCCAAGCTGGCTGCCAAGCTTCCATATCCACTTCAAAGTTTCCTGTAATATTAAATGTTTGGCCTTCACAGAAGACATTTCCAAAGACAACATATACATTAAAACCATACCTTGGGATAGTCAGGGCTGGAGGCTCCCAAACTTGTATATGAAACATGACATAACAGAAAGAGCAGGCTATTTGGAGGGAGAAAGTTGAGTTCAAGTCCAAGCCCTCAATCTCTTTGACATTGCAAACAGGGTCATCACTTAACTTCTATGGGTCCAGTTCACACGTCTGCCTTACCTCTCTCGAAAACAGTTTTGTTTGTCAAATAAAATGATGTGAAGGTAAGGACAAAAGAAGACATTGGTAAGATATTCAAGAGGTTAAAAGAGGATGTGGTAAATGATTGCCATATACCTCCCTCCTCTTTCTTCTCTTGGTTTTAACTGCTCAGCAAAATATTTAGTGAGTGCCTGCTAAGTTTCAGTGATAAGCCCTGGAGATACAGAGGGGGAATAAAATGACATGGTCCCTGACCTGAAGTAGTCAAGAAGTGACATTATCTGACTTTGGTTTTATAAGGATCACTGTGGTTACCATGTTGAGCATACATGACAGGCAGATGAAGATGCAAGCAGAGATACTTGGTTTATAGACTACTGTACCATTTCAGGCAAAAAAAAAAAAAAAAAAAAAATGATAGTGGCTTGTATACGGGTGGTAGTAGTGGAAGTACTGATAATTCAACTAAGATGAGGACTGATAACTAGGTTTTGGATTTAACATAGCAAAAAGATATTCGATGTGCTTGCAGCACAGACAAAGTTTTATGAAAGCTAGGAGATCAACAGAGGGTTACTCATAAGGGAATGAAAATTCCATGAGGCATATTGGAAAGAATTGGAAGGCAGGTCAACAGGAGATGGAAGAATAGGAGAGAAACATGCACCAGGTATAGAGAAGTTTGCTTCTGGGGCAATAGATAAACACTTGACAGTCATGCATGCACAGAATTCTGTGCGGTTGGCCCAACAAGGGTGTGGTGCCCCAGGGTAGAATTCATCCCAAGTATGTGAGGAGACAATCTTCTGCCTCCATGGTTGCTCACTTTCATGCAAAACCAGCTGTTACCCATTTGGTTAGGGAACTGAAATAAACATAGTGGAACTGAAGAGGATTGGAGTACAGTAGCAGAGTCCTAGCCCTTGAATAGAATTTTTGCCAAGTAATTGATGAGAGTGGGGATGAGCACAATTATACCTATTATTTATTGGGTACATACTCTGTGTCTGCCATACTTAATCTTCACCACAGAAAATTTAAAGATATGTGTATTGACTAATACACATTAGAATGGACTATTCTCACGCTGCTATAAAGGACTGCCCAAGGTTGGGTAGTTTATAAAGGAAAGAGGTTTAACTGACTCATAGTTCTGCAGAGCTGGGGAGGCCTCAGGAAACTTACAATCATGGCAGAAGGGGAAGAAGCAAACATGTCCTTCTTCACATGGCAGCAGGAAGGAGAAGCATGCAAGTCAAGTGAAGGGGGAAGCTCCTTGTAAAACCATATGATCTCATGAGAACTTACTATCACAAGAATAGCATGGGGGAAACTGACCCCATGATTCAATTACCTCTGACCAGGTCCCTTCCAACACACATGGGGATTATGGGAACTACAATTTAAGATGAGATTTGGGTGGAGACACAACCAAATCATATCATATGTTATCATCTCATTCTAAAAATGAGAAAAGAACAGCTCAGAAAAATTAAGTAATGTACCTCATCTACCCATCTTCGCACAGTTAAGGGACAGCATTAGGATTTGAATCTCTCCCTCTTTCCATATTACGCTTTAAAGAGCCAAGGAAACAAATCACATTTCAGAATATAAGGAGTTGGGATTAGTTGGAAACACATTGGTAACACTGGAGAGAAGGGACTGAAATAGTCTGTATAAGAAACAGAACTGAAATAGGGCCAGTTGAGGTTTTTGGCCTTCCAAACCTGTCCTTGTAGCTTATTCAGGTGCAGGCCTTGGTTGTTGGTGGCTCCTGGGCTGCCTCATGGCGCCTATGAAAAAATGGAAAGGAACAGTTACTTTCTAATTTTTCCAATCTAAAAGAAGTAGTTATTATTTTAGATAATTTTCCAAGTGTTGGTATAAGTGAATAGTTTTCTTTAATTAAGACTATCTGATAAACTGTTACCTTTCCAAATTCTCACCCTTTCAAGTCTGACAAGAATAAAAACTGTTGACACCATGCATCACCATCACCAGAGCTTCCTTACTTTTTACCAGCAGCTGAACACACCATGTGGCTGAGGAAAGTACAGAATTGTTGCCAAGTGCAGGTAGAACTTGTGAACCTGGCATGCTCAAAACCATGAATAATAAATACAGGAGTCAGAGGACTTCTTTTTGGCCAGGATTTAACTCTTTAGGAATATATTCTTCAAAATATTTAGGGACACGTTGCTTATTATATATTTTTATCTTGGTTCAAAGCTTTCATTCCTAATAACCATCCCTGTTATAATTTCACACAAAGGTGACATATATATAACTTTGATGATATGCTCCAAGAATCAAAAAGCCAGAGAAATGGCAACATAATTATATTTGCTCAATATCCAGTACTATCCCAACTCACAGCTCTAAGAGGGCATGCTTCCTTGTTTGTTTTACTGTTGAAGGTAGTCAGCACTATTACAAGTTTCAGCATATAAATTACTAGAACATAAAGATCCACCGTATTTAACTTTGGCTTCATGTACTGAGGGTTATTAATATTTGATGATGTAGATTTGAATGGTACTGAAATTATTCCCTAAGCTTGGAGCAGCAGTGTTTGATTTCCTTCATTTTTCTGGTGGTTTTTTTTTTTTTTTTCAATTTAATGAAGACCATGAAAATTGATAAAACACTAGAATTTAGTCTTTACATTTTTTTTAAAGAAAAACACATTAGGGGACATAAATAAACTATGACACAAATAAACTTATTTTTATCAAGTGACCTGACTTGGGCGTACAGTTTCAATTTCAAATATTCTGTCCCATTGTTTCCATTTTTTCACATCAGATTGTCATAATATACATCCTAGTTCTGAATTCAGATAATATAGATATCAGAGTATGGGTTAAAAGTGCCACTGATTTGGAATCAGACAAGTTAAAAAATTCTCGTTTAAGCTCTGCTACTGATTTCTGTGTGACCTTGAAAAGGGGACTTAACATTTCTAAGCTTAATATTTCCTTGCTCACAAAGTGATACAACTGGTCTAGGTGACCTCAAAATTCCATTCTATTCTAAAATCTTATGAATATGTAATATTTTATAGGAAAATAGTGTATAAATATTATTTCTATGATTAAAGATGTATAACCTATTATTTTAGAACATAACATGTCCAACTCTCACTGGTTTGCTTTTTCAAAATATATTATTTTCATTCCAGTTTAATTCATGACTTTTTTCCAAGTTAAGTCTTGAATTGTTTCTACTATATAATATGGTTTCAGATTTTTTAACATACGGTGCAGAAAGTTTCCTCTACAGCAAAATGTAGAAGAGAAAGATAATATTCCTCAGACATAGATAGTTCTGAAGCTCATCCAAGTAGACAGGTAAAATAAACCTTGGGAGAAGAAAACTGACATTTAAAATTGGTAAAGATACAAGTATTTTTGCAGAAATAACATCTTATACTTTCACAGCAATCTGCCTCCTTTTCTTTCTCCCAAACACAAGAAAAAGGCATTTCAAGTTACTGATTAGCTTAAACATACTGATCTTTGGCTTGTCTAAGGTCCATGAACGTTGACTAAACATTCTTCTACCAAAGAGAAAAACTAGAAAATTGAACACATTTAAAAAAAAAATTATATTATCTGTTATCCTGATATATCAACCCAAAACCTCATTTGGTTGGACTATGTTTTTATTTATTCTTTTTGCCAGATAAATTGGGAACTTCTAAAGGAATTATTTTCTTAAATATAAAACTAGGTGTTTGTTATCACAATAAACTCTACGTTTCCATGAGTTGCCCACTGTCTCCTAATATTTTCCACTCTAGAATGAGGCTAGGGTTGTGGGGAGCTGATTCTATAAACACAGGGATTCTTATCTATTGTTTGCTAAGCCTATGGATGGAGGTAAGAGAGTTAAACCTTTAAGCAAGCAGCCATTTTGACTAAAAATAGAAAAAAAAAACAAACTTTGACCAAGGAATCAAAATGAATACACCACTGAAAATGAGTTATTATATGTGACTTTACAATGTTAAACAGGCAAAAAAGATGAAGAGATGTAGAAAATTTATCTACTATTATTGCACAACCGCTCCGTAAGAGGCTGCATGATTCAATTTGGGGTGACACAAAAATGAACAAGACAGCCCTTTTCTCCAAGAGTTTATGTGATATTAACCACAAACACACTCATTGAAGGCAAAATGTGGTTTAATCCTATGACAGAGGCACAACACTCTGCAGGAGTCCAGAGTATTGATATTTGGAAAGAATGTATGAGAAAAAAATTCACAATTTTCTTTAAAGCATATTGAAGGCGGAAGATAAACTAGGATATGGGTTGAGTTGATTTTTTTAACTGAAACCCATAGCTTTTATGATGATCTATTTGTTAATTATTACCAGAACTCCATCCCTTGTCTTTCTGCCCACAGAGATTCACATTGTGCACTGCCTAATGGACATGCCGACATGGATGTGCCATAAACTTGTTAAATGAACACATCTCAGATCAAGCACATCTTCCCCTCTCTGCTAACCTATTCTCCTACTGTCTTTCAAGATTCATTCAGTCTCCCAAGCGAAAAATTCCAGACACCTTCTATTTCTTTTTCCATCCTGGAACTGTCTAGTCAAACCATTAGCAAGTCCCGCCATTCTTGCTCAGAAACTTCTCTTGGAATTGTCCCCTCCTCTCCTTCCCAAGTCACTGCCTTTTCTTATTTCAGATTACCTCAACTCTCATCTGGATTATTACATTTGTTTTCTATCTAATCTTGTTGTATTTGTCTCCTCAAGGCCATCCTCTACATAGCTCCCAAATTAACTTCCTTTTAAAAAAAATCTATTTCCATCATTTATCTGCTTAAAATTTTAGATATCTACATCTTACCTGGAAAACAAAACTCAAACTCCTGGATAGAGCATGAAAGGGCATTTTAAATGTGCCCATAATACACCTTTCCAGCAGCAATTACACATTTCCCCATCTTCAGTCGCATTGACTTTATCACTACTATGGTTTGCCACTGTAGAAAAGTATCCTTCCCTGACCATTGCATATGCTATTCGCTCTGCCTCAAATGTCCTCTTTCCTCTTCTAAGGCTGAACATCTTTTCATTCTTCAAGACACATATGAAAAATCACTTTTTCTTTCCCTAACTGAACCTGACAAAATTACTTTCTCCCTGTATCCACAGAGCACATTGTTTCTACCTTTATTTTTGCATTTACTCCCATTTTATTGTAACTTTATCTGTTTATATGTCAGAACTCTTTCAATTGGCAATAAAATTACCAAGGGTAAAGGCTGGATCTCATTGACCTTTTTATCTCCCATGTCTCTAATTAGCCTGGTAAATGGCATGTGTTCAATAAATGAATGACTGATTATCACTATTGGATACTATACAAATAAGTAATTACCCTTTAGGAATAATCACAATGTAGGCCAAGACTACACACAATACTCCTTGGAGAAGAGATAGGAAATAAATCTCATGGAGATTTAGAGATCTATCTGCAAGGAATATTTTGAAAGAAAACGTAACTCTGTCCTCATTAACAGCACAGCTTTGATAGCAAACAATCAACTAACATCCTTAAGGTAGTGAGAAATTAGGGAAATTGGCATTCTAGTCAAGTATTTTCTTCATAGAGGTGGTAAGTGAAGCTTTGGAATAGGATGAGGATATCAAGGGATCAGGTGTAGGGAGAGAAGGCTACATATATAATCCATGTTGACTCTCAAATTCTTCCTGAAGATGCTACAGTTAAAACTTTGCTGTGTCTGAGTATGGGTAGTGTTGTGTTTTAGCTTTTGCTTAATTCTGTTATGTTATGTCATTGATATTCTCTAATTTGTATGCAATCAAGGAGAAAGCCATTTAGTAGTAAGAATGCTTTCAGCTGATTAAAAGTTCCAATTTTTCTGGGCATCCTGTTCAAATAAAGGGCAAATTTGAAGGCAACATCAAAATGCACTACCTTTTCTGTTTTCTGCACTTCTCTTCTTTTCCCTTTCACTTGAGCAAGTAATAATGCAGATTTCAATTACCTGCCAATTCTTGCAATGGTTTTCCTGATGAAGTTAAATTGACATTTTGGCATACTTGGTAAAATCACAACAATATTCATCTTATATTCAACATATTCTTTACAATATTTATTCATTATACTACTTATTAACAACTGGTTATAAGACAGTTTGAGAGGAAAAAATGTTGGAAATGCAAAACAACAAACCATTTCCACTGTTAGAGAGCCTTTTCATACGTTATGTTCCCAATTACCTAATGGAGATTTAAAACACTCCATTCCAAGCAATTATATGCTAGAATGTATGTAATATAACTGAGGAAGAGCTCACTCAAATGCTAGGGAAATGGAAGAAAGAACATTTCCTCTTTTTATAAAATCTCCATTATTTAGCATCAATTAATCACATTGTAGAGTATAATAGATTGGTTGGTGGGTTGGTTGGTTGATTGGTTGGCTTAATGGTTATGCTTTGATCGGTTGGCTTAATGGTTAAACTTTTTCCATATAGAAAGTTAGAAGATCCTGGATGTCACAGATCTCACTAGCCTTAATTGTGAGATAATAGGCCTTAATAGGTGAAATAAATCCTAGAATCAAGAATCTAAGGGTGTAGGAAACATATTTGTATTAATCCCAGAAGGTAGCCCAGGGCCTGCAGTCATTTCCTTTTTGAACAAATAAAATAATGAATAAATGGTCAAACCTCTTTATGTTTCTGCAGATGATCAATAGAAATGTTGATCCCATTGAGCCATCAACACATTAGCGCATATAT